GTGGTTTGAGACCTTGATCAGCTTCACTTAAGGTATTATGACTTGTACGAGTAGTCGGAATTTAATTTCAGGAAGTTCAGAGTTGATTTGGAAAGAAAATTCTAATTTCGGAAGTCTTAAGTTGGAGGAATTGACTAAAGTGTGATTTTTTACTAGACGACCTCGGAATCGAGATTTGAAGGTTCCAACAGGTTCGTATGATGATTTTGGACTTGGGCATATGTCCGGATCAGGCTTTGGATGACCCGGGAATATTTCGGCGCCTATTGTGGAAACTTGACATTTTGGAAGGATTTCATAAATTTGGGTTGAAGATCATTTCAATGTTATCGATATCCGATTGGGATTTTGAGCTTGGGAATAGCTCCGTATGGTGATTCTGGACTTAGGGGCATGTCCGAAAGTGGATTTGGAGGTCCGTAGGTCATTTTGGGGTCATTTGGGCGAAAGTTGGAAATTTGGATAATTTTAAGAAGTTTGACCATGAGTGAACTTTTTGATATCGGGGTCCGATTCCGATTTCGTAAGTTGGAGTAGGTCCGTAATGTCGAATGTGACTTGTGTGCAAAATTTGAAGTCAATCAGACGTGATTTGATAGGTTTCGGCATCGATTGTAGAAGTTTGGAAATTCAAGTTCATTAAGTTTGAATTGGAAGAGGATTCGTGATTTCGATGTTATTTGGCGTGATTTGAAGGCTCAACTAAGTCCACATTATGTTTTAGAACTTGTTGGTATAATTGGTTGAGGTCCCGAGGGCCTCGGGTGGATTCCGGATAGTTAACGAACCGAGTTTGGACTTGGAAGAAGTGATGAGGCAGTTGATACCTGGTGCAATCGCACCTGCGTGAATAGGGCTGCAGGTGCGGTAATTGGGTCGCAGAAGTGACATTTGGACGGAGCTGGGATGGCCGCATATGCGAGGATGTTTCCGCATCTGCGAGCCCCCAGATACAAGGAAAGCTCCGCAGAAGCGGAATGCGAGCTGGTAGCTGGAGTCGCAGAAGCAGAAGGTCTCCGCGTATGCGAGACCGCAGGAGCGCGTTTGGCATCGCAGGTGCGGAGCTGTGCTGGGAAGAAGGCATGTGCAGGTGCGAGGTTTTGGCCACACCTGCGAGACCGTAGATACGGTGAAGCGGCTGCAGGTGCGGGAGTTGCTGGGCAGAAGGGTTCTTTAAGAACGGGGATTTGGCCCATTTTCTACCATTTTTCTTTTGGTTGGGGCGATTTTGGAGAGCTTCAAAGGGAGGTTTCCATCAAGCAATACAAGCTAAGTGATTTTCATTTATTACAAGCTAAATATATGGCTTTTATATGGATTTGAATATGAAAATTAGTAGAAATTTGGGGTTTTGAAGAAAAACATAGAAATTGGTATTCTTGGATTTTGATCACGAATTTGGGCATGAAATTGAGAATAAATTATATATTTGAGTTCGTATTGCTATGGGTAGTGTTTGTCTTTGAAAATTTTCAAAATCCGGACACGTGAGCCCGAGGGTTGCTTTATCGACTTTTCGAACGGAGTTGGAAATTTGTCTAAATTGATTTGTTATGAGTATTAGAGTATATTTTTACTGGTTTACACGTTATTTGACTAGTTTTGGAGCAACGGGCATCAGTTTGAGGTGTTAGAGGGCTTCGGAGCCGGTTATGAAATTTCGGAGCGAGGTAAGTCTCCTGTCTAACTCTTTGAGGGGAAAATTACCCGTAGGTGTTGTATATTGATGTGTACTACTTGTTATGGGGGCTACGTACGTGCGAGGTGACGAGCCTGTACGTAGCTACATTCATGTTATTGCCCGGGTAGGGTTAGGTTCACATCATGCTATAGCTGTGTTATTTGAGCAGTCTCTCGCCTATTAAATTCCTCTATTTTACATTACTACTTGAGACTAGACTTGTTATTGTAGAGACTTTACGAGTTCATGATTAGTCACCGAATAATTCTACTCTTCTTACGGCATATTTTCGTGGTATATATAAGTCATTGAAAGGTTTTTATTAAAGAAATTACAACTCACACGTTTATTCGTGAGTGGGGTCAAGGACCTTCAAAGCTTCTTACTCTTATGGGACCGGGCCGTTCGCCTTGGCAGAAATTTTTATTTCACTCTTATGGGATCGGGTCGTTTGCCTCGACAGGAATTTATATTTCACTCTTAAGGGATCGGGTCGTTCGCCTCGGCATGATTTATGTACCACACTCTTATGGGAGCGGGTCGTTCGCCTCGGCAGTTTAGTAGATGTATCTATGGTTCGGGTTGTTCGACCCTCGATAGTGCACAGTTTAAATTCTTATGTTGGATTGGGTCGTACGCCTCGGCATTTCCTATATCATATCCTCATGGATTCGTGCGTAATATTTGGCAAAAGGTCAGTACATTTGTGAGTTTTTTCGATTTGAGTTATGACGATCTACCTGATGAGATCCAATATATATGTATGTATATGCTCCGGTTAAAGAGGGAATTTCTAATGAAGAGCTTGAGTTCCTCGTAAAGAGGAGGGATTTGTACCACGTGATTTTTTACTTATTTACCTCATTTATTTACTCTGCCTCATATTTACTTATCTCTTTACTGTACCTGATGTTATTAGACCACTAGTGAGTGTCTATGTCGACCCCTCGTCACTACTCCTCCGGGGTTAGGCTAGATACTTACTGGGTACACGTTGATTACGTACGCATTCTACATTTGCTGCACATTTTTGTGCAGGTACGTATGTGGCTAGTGGCCTTGTGAGAGAAGAGGCGTGTATGCATACGGGGACTTACATGAGCTGCATTCCATATTACGACCCGCAGTCGGCAGAATCTCCTTCAGAGTATTTATATTTCTCCTGCCCAAATTTATATTATGGACAGATGTTGTATTTTATTTTACATTCCTACTTGATGCTCATGCACTTATGACACCAGATTTTGGGGTAATTATGAGTTGTGCTGTATTGAAATTGTTAAAAATATTATCATTTACTCTGTAAATTTCATCTTCTACTATTTAATGGAAGGAAAAATATGATTTCAAAATATTAAAACAAGAACCAAATTGAGTATTTATTGTTGGCTTGCCTGACAGCGGTGTCTGGCGCCATCACGACCTTTAATGGATTTTGGGTCGTGACAATGACATGGCGCCAAATAAGTGTTCTTTATTTTCTTAGTCAAAAAGGCAGTACTTGGGTGACTTTATTGTTCCAAACCAAACAAAAGTGATTTGATAGATATTCCCATAAGTTGGGTGACCATACAATGAATTAACTCCTTCAACTTATAGTATTACTGAGTTTAATTTCAGTGGCCTAATGACCTCCAAGTGGGCTTTATTTAATCCCCTGCAAATTGTGTGAAGAAGAAAGTATTAAATTCTTTCAGGGGGGTTGTTTTGCTAGCCTCAAGGTTTCACGTATTAATTTTGATGATAACAAACTAACATAATTATTAATTAAAGAACATTTACTTGTGGTAATCTTATTCTTGCACAGGTTTGTTCAAGGAAAAAGAAGTTGGTAAAGATCCAAAGAAATATGAGAAAGGGAATTTCATGTGAAGAATTTATGATCGAAAATATTATCAAGGCAGATTATTTTCTGAGATTTAATCTCCAGGCGTCATAGATGGAATAATATTTTAAAGTCAAATTTCAAATATTGAAGAAGAATATGCGGAAATAATGGAAGGAATATCTTGAAAGGAAAGTTGTTAAAATCATGGAGAAGATCTATTAATTTGTGGAAGAAAAATACTATATAAAAAAGATACTACAAGGCCAAGGAAGAATATATTTTCTATGGAAAGAAAATATATTATAGATGTAGTACAATCTATATTATGGAAGATTATTTTTCAAGATCAAGAAAGGAATATTTTCAATGTAATAGGAGTTCAAAAATACTACTATTATTTATGAAAAAATATTCTTACTACATTCCTTCTTTGGTATGGAAAAAGAATAATTTATGGAAATAAGTTTGAGTTCCATATAAAGAATGACTATTGCTCTTATGGAAATTCTTGAATATTGAATCAAGACTATAGAAGGTTGAAGAATGATGCACGTGGAGATGCAGCAGAAATTAATTATGAAATGCAAGGTTTTCTAAAGAAGATCAACCAAGATATTACATCCAAATAAAGAGAGAATATTCTACTACCATAAAAGGAAAAAGAGGTGCGGTGAATGAAGGATCAACAAATGGAATGTTGAAGAATTGTATTTCTGAATCAAGTTTCTATAGGCCTACGAAGAAAATTACTTATGATCAAATTGAGAGCTCATTAATGACTCAAGCACCAAGAAAAGAAAAAAGGAAAAGAATCCTCTACACAAGGATTCTCATGCTGGTACTCAACGAATATTTTACATATTCAATAAAGGAAAGTGGAGACAACCAAATACAAGAAGCCAAACAAGGAAAAGAAATCAATGTTGCAAATATGCCTATGGTATATCTACATTCAAAAGAGTGCCAAGTCAATATACTGTCCATATTCATATAAGTACTGGAGCTGCAATTTATGGAAACAAATAAAGGAGTAACGGTCAAATCCATTTGGGCTGTGCAATAGCTAGAACAAGTTGAAAGGGCTATAAATATACAAACTTTATGAAGGAAGAAAGTACACAGCTTTCTATACAATTGTCTACCCAACTACAAGTTATTTATTCTACTCTTAACAAGCATTGTAATTCACTTTTAGTAGATTTACTGTGTACACAAAAGAGTGAAGAGAGACAAAATTATTAGAGAGACAAAATTATTAGAGAGACAGTGTGTCCTTAGAGGTTGTGTCATTATTCATTTCGTTGGTAAGCGAGTGAAAACCAAAGAGTCGTTGTTGGTGAGCGAGTAAAAACCAACCTTTTGCATTGTTGGTGAGCGTATTAAAACCAACCCTTCTTCGTTGTTGGTGAGCGAGTGAAAACCAACCTTGTAAACGTTGGTGGTGAACGTTGAAAATCACACAAATTGTACTCAATTCATATTACAAAGAGCTAAAGAGATAACACCCTTGCAACCCAAGGAGATTGGAGTAGAATATCACATTAATTCCGAACCAGTAGGATACACTAAATCCATCTCAAAAATACGAAAAGAAAGTATAATACTAGTCACTAGTTTAGAATAATGAATGAATACTCGTGACGCTAATAAAAATGACCATGGAGCGATTCTAAGAGTTCAAAAGAAAAGAGACAATAGCAAATAGGTAACTCCTTGCCCTCGCGAAGCAATGTGGGGTTCACCAGGAACTGCCAACTCGTGTACTCTAATTAATGAAATCCTCCCTTGTGCCAATTGCTGTCTCTGGAAAACATAGCGGGGAATGAATCAATAGCTCAGTGAGCAATAACACTTAACCACAATCATTTTTAATTGGGGGCAAATCAGAAAATATGCTTGTATAATAATAATCAGAACTGTCATAAAAATAAAACGCCCTCTCAAAAATGGTAAATATAATCAGTTTATTTATATGCTTCCTGTAACAGAAATCAATTTAACAAATCGATAATAAACTCGCTAAATACTGTGTCATAAAAAATCTTTATATTTGGGAGATTTTCAAGAAAGGACCATGTAATCTGTATCACTGTGTGGACCCCTTCATAAAAGGAGTCAAATATAACTGTAGGTCCCTACTCGAGGGAAAACTGTAATTGTATGCTAGTTCTACCTTCCCACTAGCGAGGGCTATAACTGTAATCGGTAATTTGTAAATACAAGATGCATGAGGTCTAACGAACCCGTTGTTAGCTACGGGATCCTTCAAAGTCTCCTTCCATCTATACTTGTCTTTATAATCCGTCAATATTCATATGAAAATACTTTTAAAACAGTACAGGACATTTCAGTTCTTATCAAATCATGTAGTTTCATTCGGTAACAGTAATCATATTTCCGGTAACAGTAAAACATATCTAGTAACGGCGAGAATATTTATAACAACTGTGATCATCGCAAATAATTATTTCGGTATCATATTGAGTGAAGGACTTGTCCCACATACAAATTCAAACACGGGTAACAAATACTATTTTCAAAATGATGTATAAACCATACAAGTTATAAAAACACAAGTTGCGATAAGATTACTACTCACAATACTCGTGCCGAAATACAAAGCGTATCACTTCGAGCAGTCCGTACAACTTCTTTCGATCAATCTATATTATCAGAAACATGAGTTAAGTATCAACTTCATGAGTTAAGTATCAACTTCATGAACTACGACATAGTCGGGTTTTATTCTATCAAATGTCCTCCTGATTCCATTTGAAATAACCTCAATCAGGCTACCCATGACCCTATCAAACTATTCTCTGTAATTCTTTATTTCTCAGTTCATTAATCGAACATCAGTTAATAACTTTATCATAATAAAATATCCAATTTTAATGTTACCCATTATAAATAAGCACCATCTCAATTCCAATATCAGATTTAAAAAGCTAAACAATTCAAACTTAAACACTCTCAATAACTCTTCAAAATAGGTTATACCCTAATATGTGCATAGCTAAACCCAATTAAAGTTAAGTGCACATCATCTTTCTCGCTAGTATTTAGCTTCAGTTTCCAATGAAACCTTACATACTCGGGGAAACAACTCAAATAGAATCAAAGTAACATTAACCTGTATAAGCCGAGGTGTGGCAGTAGCTATGAGCTTCAAATCTGCTCCTTCTTTTGTCTTGTATGGTTTAATGACAAAACTTTATTCTTCTAAACATTCTTTCACGTTGCTGAAGTATTTTACCTTGGTTTTTAGTTGAGTTGTTGTCCAATATCTTGCTCCAGGTTAAGCTTTCCTCTCTTTTGCCTTTTGATTCTTTAATCTTGGAATATAACTCCCCCCAAATCCCTAACTCCCGTAATGTAATATTATAGTGGGCTCGGCCCATTAATTGCCCATAGTATTTTTCTTTTCTTTTTTGTCTCTTCTTTTATTTTATTAATTTAGCTAATGACTTAAAATGTCCATAGTTAAAAATGGGTCATTACACTACCCACTTTATGGCAACCAAAAGTTAATACTCTTGAATACGGAGATCTCGAGAAAGGTGATCTCGACAAACTATCATATGATGAACTTCGTAGAGACCTTATAACCTTTGAGCAAACCCATCTCAAAAAATATGGACATGAAGAGAAGAAAAAAAGTGTTGCCTCTAAATCAACTATTGCTAAGTCTGAAGGTGAAGACGAAGAAGAAGGAGACAAACATCAAGATGATATTGTATTATTTTTGTCACGACCCAAAAACCTAACATGTCGTGATGGAACCTATCGTGGAACTAGGCAAACCGACTCATACCAAAACAAACCGATATTTTCATTTCAAGGATAATTTCAAGTCTATTTAGCGTAAAAACCTTCGTAAAGGAGTTCAAATCAAAACAAAAATGCTGAAAAGAAAAATCCGACATCGGGGTGTCACTAGTCATGAGCATCTACTACAATCTGTCTAACAATATCAAGACTAACTCAGCCTGGAAAATAGCTAAATACAACTAAAGGAATATAAGAGGGAGAAAAGCAGGGCTGCGATCGTCAGGCAGCTACCTTGCTATCCCCGAGAAAATCTACAACCGGAATAGTCAACAGCCATTACCGTGTCCATCTAACCTGGATCTGCACACAAGGTGCTGGGAGTAACGTGAGTACGCCAACTCAGTAAGTAACAATAACAAATAAAGACTGAGCAGTAGTGACGAGCAACAAAGCATATAAAGTTCATATCATGAAATCTTAGTAAAATACAACATGCTAAAAAAAACAGTGTTTGAACCAAATCATCTCATTTAAACCCAGTTCCAGTAAAATTATAAATATCCCATCGGGCAACATTACTCATATACAGCCACTCGGGCAAACCTCACAATCACCCATACCTCTCGGGCATACCTCACAATCACTCATGCCACTCGGGCATACCTAACAATCACTCATGCCTCCCAGTCACTCAGCACTCGGCGCTCGGCACTCAAACTCAGTAGGTACCTACGCTCACTGGGGTGTGTACAGACTTCGGAGGGGCTCCTTCAGCCCAAGCGCTATAATCTGCACGGACAACTCACGTGTTATAATATCATATCAGAATCAGCACGGACAACTCACGTACCATAATAAGCCAATAAGGCCTGTTGCAGGCGGGCAACTCCGATCCATATAATAGTAATAATATATATAAAGCCAACATGGCCTGCTACAGCGTGCAGCCCGATCCCAAAAATATCCTCACAATTAGGCCCTCGGCCTCACTCTGTCATAAACCTCTCAAGCCACTAGGGCATTTCAGTGAAAACAGGGTATTCAACCCAAAACAACATTTATATGCATCAAAATCGAGTAATAAAAACTGAGTTATGCAATAAACAGGTATAACCATGATCGAGTATAGATTTTCAATCGAAAACAGTGAGAGGATAGTAAGAAAAGGCCCCTAAGGGTCCACACAGCACTGGCACAAGGCCCAAAATATGGCATTCAACCCAATTTACAGAAACTCTTTCTAAAACATATAAGTATCATTTAGTTTTAACAAAATATGCAACTTTACAGTTGCTACGGGACGGACCAAGTCACAATCCCCAACAGTGTACGCCCACATGCCCGTCACCTAACATGTGTGTTACCTTAAAATAGTAGATTGATACGAAATCCAAGGTTTCATACCCTCAGGACTAGATTTACAATCGTTACTTACCTCAAATCGATCAAGTCCCTACTTCGCGATGCTCTTGCCCCTCATTCGGCCTCTAAATGCTCTGAATCTATTCACAATCAATACAATACCATCAATAAATGCTAATGGAATGAATTCCACAAGAAAAACTATCAAATTAACCCAAAACTCAAAATTGGCTCAAATCCGACCCCCGGACCCATGTCTCGGAATCGGATAAAAGTCACAAATTACAAACACACATTCACTCATGAATCCAACCATACTAGTTTCACTCAAATCCGACTTCGAATTGACATTCAAATCCCAAGAATTCATTTTATGAAGTTTCTATAATTTTCCCCAAAATTTCACCTCAAAGTACTAATCAGATGATGAAATCATTGATATATTCATATATATTAACCAAATTCGAGTAAGAATCACTTACCCCGATGAATTTCTTGAAAAATCTATGGGTAACATTTGCCACAAACCGAGCTCCCTAGGTCCAAAATGTGAAATAATTCCCTAAACCCCGTTTATAAAGTGCACCTCTGGCCTCCCACTTCGCGGTCCGCGAAACTTTGAGCGCGGCCGTGCTTTTGGTGGCTCCACTGCCAGGCTTTAGTATTTTGGTCGTAACTTTCTATACAGATGTCCAAATAATGACTTCTTTACCTTTCTAGAAACTAGACACGAAGGGATACAACTTTCGTTTTTGAATCATCTCAAAATTGCTTGTATATCAAAAAATATAGGCTTCCGAAGTCGGACCAGCGTATCTGCAAAACTTTCAAGCGCGGTCCGCGAAATTCAGCTGTGGTCCGCAAAATTCGAAGCGCCTCCACGAAATGCTGCTGCGGTCCGCAAAATTTAAAGCACCAGAACCATACTTGAGTTCCGGAAATGCCCGGACTCGCTCAAAACTCACCCGAAACTCACCTGAGGCTCCCGGGACCTCAACCAAACATACCAACCAATCCTAAAATACCATACTAACTTAGTCGAACCTTCGAAATACTCAAAACAACATCAAAACACCAAATTACCCTCGGATTCAAGCCTAAGAACTTCTAAACTTCCAAATTCGACAACTGATGCTGAAACTAACCAAACTACGTCCGAATGACCTCAAATTTTGTACACACATCACAAATGACACTACAAACCTACTCCAACTTCCGGAATTCCATTCCGACCCCGATATCAAATTTTTCACTACCGACCAAAAATTGCCAAATTTCCAATTTCGCCAATTCAAGCCAAATTCTACCACGAACCTCCAAATTACATTTCGGACGCGCTCCTAAGTCCAAAATTACCTAACGAAGCTAATGGAACCATCAGAATTCCAATCCGAGGTCAAATGCTAAAAAGTCAAACTTGGTCAACTCTCCTAATTTAAAGCTTCAACAATGAAATTCTTTCATTCAATTCGATTCCGAAATACCTGCAAACCAAAACCGATGATTCACACAAGTCAAAGTACATCATACGTAGCTACTCATGGCATCAAACAACCGAGCAAAGTGCAAATATTCAAAACGAATGGTCGAGTCGTTACATCATCCCCCACTTAAACATAAGTTCATCCTCGAACGTGCCAGAGTTGTTCCAAAAGCCATCAAATCGCTGAGTTACTTCCCCATGCACATACCCGGGGGTGATCCCACGTCACCCTATCCCATACATGTTTGATAGCACATCATAACTGAAATTTCTCAATTCAACCTAGCCCACAAGCCTTCGAATCAAATTTCCAACATCCAAAATTTCCTATAAGATCAGAAGCTCGCATCTACATACCGTATAAGTCTGAACAAGCTGTACCAAAAGTTGTAACCATAACTCAAATACTCAAATTCAAATACCGCATAGCTCGAATGCTCGAAGCAATGATTTCTAATCACAGTATCAGCTCAAATCCACCCAGTGCCGGTAATAAATCTCATATCAGACAAAACCTCGTTCTAAAACCTTCGTACACTGCTGATGATGAAGAAACATACCGAATTCCTAACCATTCATTAGACCAATAGGTCATGGAGCTCCCGTTCATTCTACAAGAACTATAACTAATTTCAAAGCCGACTTCCAATATTATCCTCCCAATTATACCACAATCAAATCCGATAGCATCCATTCTAGGCCCATTGACCTCATCTCATCCAACACAACCACTCTAGTGACATGACATATCAATACAATCTAAAGCCACAACCCGTGCAATCTCTGCACCAGATAGCAACATTCCAAATGTACCCAATCGTAGCAATGACCCAAAGTGAAGAACCGTTCCACAAGCTCGACGGGTACCACCCGACGCAATGCTAAGAACCCATCACACACCGCAAAACCATAACACATGAATCTTACACAAAGGATCATATTTCCACATAACTCTGCTGCAATTCGCGACCATATCCAAATACGGGTACATATGAAACACCTCAAGCCACCCCTGCTAAAATCAATAACCATGCGCAATTCGACATCAAGTACCCCAAGTGCATTACCATAACCACAGAGAAGCAAACGACACCATGCCACACAAAACCCGAAAGAACATGACCAATACGCCATCAACCAAGCAATATCCAATATTATTCTCACTCAAATTTCGCTATAAGGCCACAATAGAACTGCACCATATGTGCATGTAACCAACAAATCACAACTCCTCGTAGTATAGAAGAGTAACTCACAAATTATTTCAGAACACGAATAAGCTTCACATCAACCAAATGGTACATCCTTCAACAATAGCAGTATAGAGCCAACCAATCCGGCTCGGTATAGAATACACATCCTAATAGGGCCTACCAATGGGCCCCAAATCAACTCTGATCAGCCACCAATAGATAAATAACCTCTGAAAGTCCACAATGACTGAATCATAACACATTCTATTATCTGGCTAGCTCCGGCCACAACTTCACAGTCCACAACCATGAAATAATCTGCTCTTGAGAATTCCCAATCTTCAATTCCATAGAACACATGAATCACCATATTTGATTTCACCTCCACCGCCCGAATGCCTAACACCTCTCTCATACACAATCATCCCACGAGAAAACTTTAAAAATTCTTCCGTGCCACCCGGCAAAAATTTGAATATTAGCAGTAGATCAACCGGGAGAGTGCCACAATACCAAC